TTTCTTTCAGCATTTTGACATTGAATTTTTTCAATTCGTTACGTTGGCGTAATTCACAAGTTACTTATATATTAACGCAACACGCAAGCAAGTTTATATGAAAGCAAGTTACACCCGTTTTCAAAATTACGCGACCTCCTCGAAAAATACTCCTACTTCAAATGTCAGTTTTATGTCACAGGAACTGCTAAAAATAGCAAACGTAAACAAACTGTCTAAAGACATTTTAAACCGTATTTAATACCAAAACTGAACAAAAATGAGTCAGATAACTTAGATATACAAACTAAAGCACAATACAAACCATCACATGCAACAGAAATATGTCCCGTGAATGACTTTTAAAGTTTGAAAAATAACAATTTATCCTGGGATTTAGCTGTCAGTATAAAAACACGCGCGCTAGACTATAACGGTGATGTTATAACGAGAATGTTTCTGTTCTGTTTTATTTGTGACAGTATTTGTGACGTTGTTGCATTGTACTTGCGACATGGATGTTCCTAGGCTCAATTTAATTTAATTGTCGAACCTCAAACATTGAGTTTGTATCACAATAGTGAATAGGTTTGGCACACAATATATTATAACGTTTAATATAAAGTAAGCCTTAATGATTTGGGCATACTGTCGAATCCAATTTTTTTCGTGAAGATTTTTTAAACCGTAAATCATATGGAAATCGATAATCACAAATTAATAATCATAATAAGACGACCGGTGTTTTCGAAATTTCCATAAGAAAGACAATTCTATCCTAGCGGGCTTTTTTGGTGTGTTAGAAATTATTTTACCCATATATATTTAGTTGAGCGTTGTAATTTTGCTATTGTCTTAAATATTCTCCACTTTATAGCGTATTTTCCCCTTGGAATACTTTTTGGACTATAACTAGGCAGCTATAGCAGGATATTGAAAATCTCACCTCATAGTATTTAGCAATTTGACATAGATATTAAATTACAAGTATACACAGGCGGCGACAGGACCCCGCGCAGAGACTTTCGTAGCAGTTGCAAGATGTCTTTTAAATTACCTGTGTTGTGTAGTCTGAAGCCATCCTTACAAAGTTACCCTGCCGGTTTACCGGAGTTTCAGTGGGCCGATCTCTGTGATAAAGAAGAAATTGGCTGTGGTACATACAGTACTGTTTTATTGGCAAATAACCAAACAACTTCAGAGAAGGTTGTTGTTAAAAAGTTTATTGTGTCTTCACAGGCAGACGACAAGCAAAGATTCTTCAAAGAAACAAGGCTTTTGCATAATATGTCACAAGAATGTGGTAGAGTTAAAAAAGGTGTGCGTGCAGCCTGCTGCAATAATGCTGGAATATGTCTATTTTTACTTTTCGCCCTTTTGTCCTGATGATTCCCCACACGTGCACAGCCTAGAGGAATTTTTTAGTCACTTGGACGCCACAGACACTGTTGCCAGTTTTCCTTCGTCTCTTCAGTTGAAGATTGCAGAAGATGTAGCCAAAGGACTAGAGCATTTGCACCAGTCGGGTATTTATCATTGCGACCTCAAAACTTCAAACATATTAGTTTCTAACACTCATTACAGCCTCATTGAAGACCAAGAAGCCCTTGTTCAAACTTGAGAATTATAATTTGTAAATTGACTGACTTTGGCAAAAGTAGATCCGATGAAATCCAGACTCATTTGGTGACCAATATTCGTACTAAGAATGTAAACCGGTGTAGCAGTCTGAGATTGTCCTCGTGCTGAGATTGTTATAGTACTACTGCGCATGCTCCAAGTGTAGCATGCAATCTCATCACATGGAAGAGCAGTCTGAAATTGTATCATCCTGAGATTGTGGTGCTGAAAATGCTGTGCTGAAATATTTTAATATCCTTTCCACATATGTTTTATGTGATCTTTTAAGAGTTTAGGAGAAATTGTATAAATTTTAGAGCCAAATTTATCGATTAGCCAAAGGCATCGTGGTGAATTTGTTGTGCCACCAGAATCAGCTGACATTGTCAAAATATTTATCCTGAATTTATGTCTGGTGTTTAATACTCAGGTGTAGATATATGTTTGCGGCCACACTCAAAGTAAAATCACAAGCATATATGTATCCTTTCCAAATAAATTATAAGAATTTACAGAAATTGTATAAATTTTAGGGTCAAATATTTCAAATCTTAGCAGAATTTAGCCTTTTAGGACATCGTGCTGAGATTGTCGTGCTGAAAATGCTGTGCTGAATTTGTTGCGCTGAAATGTCATTAATATAATATCCTCAATTCCACATAGGTTTTATGTGATCTTTTGAGTTTAGGAGAAATTGTATAAATTTTAGAGCCAAATTTATCGATTAGCCAAGGGGCATCATGCTGAAATTAGGACATGTTGAAATTAGGATGTGCTGAAAATGTTGAATTTTGGACATCAACATCATGCTGAAAATGTCATGCTGAATTTGTTGCACTGAAATATCATTAATATCCTTTCCACATAGGTTTTATGTGATCTTTTAGCACATTGACATTGTGCTGTGTTTGTCGAGTCTGCGATTGGCAGATTACCGAAATATTTATCCTTTTCAAATTAATTTTAAGAGTTTACGAAAGTTGATTTTAGAAAGTTAATAGAATTTAGGGCATCATGCTGAAAATGTTGTGCGGAGTGAATTTGTTGTGCTTGAAATATTTGTCCTTTCCAGATAATAATATATCCGTTTATGAGAATTGTAAATAGATTATGCTATAACTACAGTCTACGGGCATACGTACATTTTATACACCAATAATCAACTGAACATACGTCATTAGTATAAACTGTACATCACTAGTAATTATTCGCTGGGGCACCCTGTGCCCCAGACGAGTATTGGTTTCGGCACGCATTTTTGGTGGATGTCAGATTTCCGATCGTTGTTGAATAGCCACAAAATAGAATATTAGTGAGCTGCCTAATTTCCCCCCAATTATCCATAAGGCTCCTGCCAATTTTACCCAAATTATTCATAAATAACCCTGCATTTTGAGGATAATTCGGGAAAATTGAACAATTTTACAAGGAATTCCGCATGGAAACAGCAACCTTCACAAATGGTTTATACTATGTCTATGGTTTACACGTTTGGCTGTGCTGCTTTATATTTTGAGAAGAAAGCAACTCCGTTCGATTCAGCATAAGACATTGCACTCACAGATGTCAAGTGTATTACAAAACAGCAGTATTCTAGAGATTTATGGCCTTTGAAACTCAAGCGAAATTGGTCAAATTGTATTGTTAATTGTTGTCATACAAATCGTTCGAAGTATGTACTATTGTCGAGAAATCACTCGCGCTACGTTTGTCCTTGTATTTGTAATGCCTAATGGCGCAATAAGGATAAAAATACCACCGTTCAATTCAGCGTAAGAAATTGTACTCACAGATGTCAAATGTATTGCTAAACAGCAGTATTCTAGTGATTTATGGCCTTTGAAAATCAAGCGAAATTGGTCAAATTGTGTTGTTTAATTGTTGTCAGACAAATCGCTCGCAGTACGTATTTGTTGACAAATCACTCGCAGTACGTTTATAGTGTTTTGTAATGCCTAATGGTGCAACAAGGAGAAAAATACCACCGTTCGATTCAGGGTTAGAAATTGTACTAATTATGGATGTCAAATGTATTACTAAACAACAGTATTCCAGCAATTTATGGCCTTTGTCTTTGAAAATCAAGCAAAAATGTGTTGTTGACAAATCACTCAAAATTATTAAACTAATTATACAAAAATGCAGTACGTTTGATCCTTGATAACTTTGGTATCATTGGTTTTCTCTTTTTCAGCCGTATACCAGTGGATTCGTCTCACTTCTCTCTTCACTTTGATAGTATTTTTAGCTCAAAAAATTTTAGTTTGAACGTTTTAAAGCGCAGTTTAATCCTAGCATACGGACCAACTGGCGGCTGACAGTCTTGAAGAAGGATTGTAGCATACTAAATATAAATTTACTTGTAGGGTAAGGCCTACCGCATTTTAGTACTGTGTTACAGTAAGCCTTTCGCGCTTGTTTTCGACTTTTCCGCTTAGCTGTTTGAGAACCGTAAATCTTAATTGAAATAGCTGTGTACTGTATGTATTATGTGTGATCATGTACAGTAATGTGCATAATTGTATAGCCCCAGCGAGTTAACGCTCCGTAGAGCGTCTTGTTCTTTCTATTTACAGTTTTTACAAAAGGAACATGTATTCTTTTTAACAACTCTTGGTACTCTTTCACAACCACAATGAAACAAATCCAGGCACTTGTCACACTGAATCATAAAAATGTTCTCTCTGTATGGTTGTCTGCAATGACAATATATGTCAATCTCTTCGCTGCTGTGGTAAAGTTGGTGATTTCAACTAGTATTGGACATTGGGAAAGACAATATCACACCAGTGTTAATGCACTTCACCAGATGTCCACACATTTCGTCTTGCTGCCAATCACAGTCTTGTGGTAAACCACCATAGCACATACTGGTTGCAACTGCAGGGGCAAACAAGCGACAGCCCTTCTTGCTTCTGCATGTCTGGCCACAATAACGTCATATGTTTATACACAGGCATAAGCATGTAGGCCAATTTACCTCAAAACTTTTTGCTTACACGAGGCATTAATGTTATTGTACAAAGAGTCATAAATTATACTGAGTCCTTTGGGCAGCCGACATTACTGATTATTATCCAATGGTTACCACCAACATTTAAATTTTGGACAAAACTCTGCTCAGGTGTACCAACTTGTTGAAAACCTTCGGGAGCAAATACGCAGACAGTCTGCAAGCCACCAATATCAGGGAATTGTTTTGCAAGCCTAGCCTGTGCATGGTCAATATGTTCATCTGATAACCATTCACCGTTCTGAATGTCTGGGAGAAGTCGTGTATTGTTCTTCATCACGTTTGCTTTTTTGACAGGTACTGGCCCAACTTTCCTCCTTCTAGCTTTTGTATAACTCACAATTTTATGTCTTCATCAATTTTGTTGGGACTGTTGGTAACACTGGCTTCATCTTCCTTTTAAGGACTTAACAGCAGAGGTGAGACTGTCTAGGGAATCCTTTATTGGACAAGGAACAGCAGACTGATTGCTTGGAACATCATTATGTGTTATATCTGTGCAGCTGCTTGGGTCAGGATTAATAGATACTTCAGGCACTACCGGTTTATGAAGATCACTTGTAACATGTGGACGGATTTGATCATATGCGACATTCACTTTTAACATTTCCCCGCTTTTGATATGGGCCAGTTGGATCCTTTGGTGGTTATCGATTTCAGCAATCCTAAATGAAATAATACATTCAAATGACTTTGCATGGAGGGTGGTCTGATCTGTTTCTTGAGAAACAAACAATATTCTATGGGTTCACAAGCCAGGCCCCTCATCTTTGTTTCCCCCCTTCCCAAAAAACCAGGCAGTATCATTTTGTCTTGTGGGAGGCATGGTAAAAATAATATAATCTTAAAGTATGATTTCACTGATTGAGACCTACAGTAAAGAGCATCCAACTTGCCACCTTTTTGTCCACTGTTTTTCATGCATTTTCGAAGGACTACCTCTCCCACTGAAAGATTAAAAACCTTCACACCCTTGTTTTCCGTTTTTGCATATTCTTCTTTTTGCTTTGCTTGGACCTTCTCAACATTCTCTTCTACCTAATAGTATGAAAAAGGAGCATTTAGCAACAAAACATGCTGCAGTCAGTCCTTGTGGACGCCTCTTGTAAGTGAACACCATCCCAATCTTGAAACCAGAGTATACACATTTGCATATTAGGTTCGGTAGTACTCTGGGAAAATCGAGATAACAAGTTTCATTGGCTGCTGTAAATGAGATAACAAATTACATTGGCTGATTTGTAGGATAACCTGCAAACATTACCTTCTTTCCAACATTCTTCATCAGATCAGCCCTTTCTGCAACGATCTCCTCAAACTCTTCTGCAGATGGATCTTCTGGCTTGATATCTCCCCCATCTGAAGGGTCTTCCATCTCCAATTAAAAGAAATGAGTTTTTATGAATTGAAGTGAGTGATAATCATTTTGCTTGGTTTATGTACATTGCATTTGGTACTTACCTCCATTGGAGTCCTTACATGCCGTCCAAACATCAGGAAGAAAGGACTATACTTTGTCGAACCTTGCTTTTGGGTACGAATTGAGAAAGGTATTTCTTCTAAATAGTCATCCCAGTCATGTTGGTGCTCATTGATACGTTTTGCTAGTCGCACCTTTAGTGTTTGGTTTGTGCGCTCATCAAGTCCATTGGTTTGTGGATGGTATGCACTGGTGACCGAACGAGAAATTCCCAACTGCTTACAGATCTGTGTGTTCACCTGTGAAAATCACAGCAATAGTTTCAATAAATTGTCTACTTTTTTGTTCACTCTTTTTAACTCCAGATGGCTTTATGCATCAAAGGGAAAGGTGTTAGACATGTTAGAGTAAACTTAGAATTGGATATATTGAATTTGAAATGGTAAACCAAACTATAAATTACTTTCGCAACAAACTCCCGCCCTTGATCAGATAGCAATCTGCATGGGGCTCCCCATCTTGTAGATAAAAACAAAAATGCATTAAAACACACTGTTCAAGATTAGAGATCTGGTATACAAACTATCAAGAACACAACAAATCACACTTATTTACTGCAAAGATAAATTCAATTACTTTGTTTACCTGCAAACAAAGGTTTAATGCCATGAGCAACACCTCCTGCAGTTTTATCTTTCAAAGGATAAAAATCCACAAACTTTGTATAATAGTCTGTAAATGTTAGAACATACGTATAACCAGCTGTTGTGGTTGGGAGTGGACCTGTAAAATATAGAACAAACAAAAAAAGTACAAGTTAGCAAACTGTGCAGAGAAACTTAAATTTTGTAATTCTAAATTAATGACACCAGAGGATTGATAAATACAATTATTATTACATGGTTACACACCAATGAGATCCATTCCAACCAATTCCATAGTCTTATTAACTTTAATGCTTTGAAGCTCAGGGGCCATTGTCTTCAATTTTCATATCGCTGACAACAATCACATGACTTACACTAAATTGAGGTAAAAATAATGTTGACAGTAAGAATTTAATAGATAAAGTGACTTCAAAGGTTTTTACCTGAATCTGTGAACGATTCATCTTGTGCTCGTTGAAGATAATTATTTTGCTTTATTATATTTACATACTCAACCACATCCTCTATCATACCATTCCACATATAAAAATTGGAAATTTTTGAAAGGGTGTTGTTGATATACCATTATGTCCTCCCATAGGATTTGAATGATACTGATAAAGGATATCTTGCATTTCTTTAAGATTTTTTGATACCAACATAGAATAATTCCTGTTCTAAAATATAAGTTTATAAAAGGAATAAGTTACTTTATACTTGCAGATTAAAATATTATTAACCATTGATTATGCTGCAATGCTCCCCACTTTGTTATAATTATACTCTGTCTCACACTTTGTTAGGCTATGTTACTTGTCAAAGGGAAAGTATTGGATGTTAGCGGGTTATTAACCACTTTACATATATCTGCCTATTAATCTACTTTGTTATTTCACTTTTTCTGATGCCAGATGACTTTACCTGTCAAGGCGAAATAAACTACTGAATGTTAATTTAACTTATTTCCTGCAATAATCATCACTACTACTGTAGTTAAACAAATATATTATAATGCTTGTGATGTTACCCTGAGTGTATATCCACACTGGGCAAGCTTGAAAAATATGCCTGACCACGGTGGGAATAGAATCTGCAACCTTTGGATTACTAGCCCAATGCTCTGCCAACTGAGCTACGTGGTCAGATCGGTTTGAGTATGTGATATTTCGGAACAGAATCTAGTTCCTAGGGCTAGTAATCCAAAGGTCGTAGGTTTGATTCCCACTGTGGTCAGGCATATTTTTCAAGCTTTGGATATACACTCAGACTAATGTCACAAGCATCATGTTCACCTGAGCACATTACACCAACACAGAAAAAATATATTAGAATTCTTTAGGGAGTGGTGGGAGAGCATTCAAATAAATTATTGGCTTCCTAATGACTCAAAAGCCTTCCTAGGGGTCCAGGGGTGCTGTATGCTCCCCCAGATACTGTATGCAATTATAGTAATATTGGCTATTTCTATTTTTACTGGTTGTGCCTTGAATAATTTGATTTTTTGCCCCCCCATTGACCTAAGCCAACAGGGGTGTGGACCCCCCTATAAATCCACCCCTTAGTAAGATCATATGTCATTAGTAAGTAAAGGCCATGAATTTCTGTGCTTTCTAACCGAATTGTAGTGATGTGATATAGTTAATAATACAAGGCCTATGCAAACACCAGTTAAATTAGAAATGTCATTACATGGCATAATATTTAGTAATTATATACTAATTAGTATAATGTATAGACTTTGGCACATTGCAGTACTTACTAGTCAAATCCCACAGATGAGTCTTAGCTTGGTTTCTGAGATTCCGACCCTCATTTTTTGTCAGGCCTTCTGGGTATTTGTTAGATACCAAATACTCTATCAAATTTTCACACTGCGTATTGTGCTTGCCAAATCTTTCTTCCCTGGTGGGATGCTTATTTTCTTGGGTAGATATCTCTGATGTTTCATCATGCAGACACTATGTGTGAATATTACATGTATGATGTTATGCAGTGTTGAATTCAGGTATCAAAAAGCCAGCTAACAATAAGAAATTGTCAAAAGAGAAGAAGTATTGTAAGTGGAAGACCTACCTAGCCTAATACAAATTAATCAAACCTATCTATGACATTTTCGTAAAAATCGTGAAACACATGCATCTGTACACTTTGACTGCATTTGCTGATTTAGTGATTCACACACATGTGTAGCTAAATTAATGTAAACAATAAACTTTAATAAGAATTTTACCTTGAATAAAGACAATATCCAGGATCTCGAAGTGCAGATATAAAAATATCCAGTATATAACCTAAAAATCCAAAAGTTTCTCGCAAAGAATGACAGAACGTGTTGTTGTTTGTGGTTTGATGTGACAATGATGCAATCTCAGCACGCCATGAATACAGCGGAAGCGACCGCCGTTGCATATGGTCACTGCGCATGAGCACAACAACAATTCACAATCTCAGCATGGTGCAATCTCAGACATTTCCCATGTCCGTATTGGCCACAGTAATGGCATTTGTCACCTTTTTCTGGTAGGCAATTTTTCATTTCTTCTTGTTTGGTCCGACGGTATTGGCTACAAGCTGCATTTGCTGTTTGGGCTTCTAGAAGTCAGCCAGCAGAGCATTTGCCAGCTTCTTTGGCTTTGATAAATTGGAAGACGTCTTCTAACGTCATGTTCTGGTTCTAGTCTCCCAGAAGGTCTAATTGTATGTCGTGGACAGCTAGGCTGCGCACGGTGGTTGGTTGCCAAGTGATTTTCCTCCGGAAGTGCAGGCTCGGAAATATTAAGCGGTTGCTCCAAGCAGAATAGATTTCCCTCCAAAATATAAATAAACATGGCGATTATTGCTGAGGCTGAAAAAGTTATCACTTCGCTTTCTTCTCTTAAACTTGGTTCCATGCGTTTTTGGAACCCTGCACTCGTTGCAATGAAGTTTTCGGTGGAGACACTGTGGATGAAAGCAGTATGGGAAACCGAATCGAAGCCGAATTATTGCATGCAGGACCTCGACCAATTTTAGAAGAACGAGCTTCGAATAAGTTTGAACTTACCGGCCCGCTTATTGATTCCTTCCTTCGCGAATTGGGGAAATCCATGTACAGCAAACTTGGTCGTTCAAGAAATACTGGGCTAATGCCTCCTGTAAAGTTGTTTGTGCCATACAATATATTTCGGCACACATGCAATGTTGCTGCTGGCTATGGCGGGTCATTGAAGAGCACCACGTCACAAATTTTAGTGACAATTGAATCTTTTAATACTGCATCAAAAGTGTTTTCGCCTGTCAGATTTTCTGGGCATAATTTCTTAAAAAAAGGCATTTCAATAAGATCCGTCAAGATGAACGTACTATTTTTCAGTATTCTGGAAGAGCAGCCGTTGTTGTGGGAAAGTTAACTCCTTTGTTACTGAACTACAACCTCAAGCAAGAAAAGCTGATGCTTCCATTTTACATTCAGCGTTACAACAAGGACGAATTTTCCTTGGATTTAAGGCTTCAAGCCCTGATAAACCAGGAGCAAAATTAGGTCAACAATACTTGCTTGGTAAGCTTTACTTTAAAATTTGTATACACAAATAGATAAATATTGAAGTTTGCAACTGTCTTTAATATACCAAGGAGATTAACCATTAAATATTGCAAAAAACCTCACTTCACTATTTATTGCTGGCATATTTTTCTGCATGGTAAAGGGGCGATACTCAGGCATTAGTGGGCTAAGAAAGCTTTGTATCAAATTTGATTTATTAACCCATTAAGCGCCAGTCTCTCGCTTTGATGAGTAAAATCGTCTGGCGTTAGACATAGTAAAATAATAAAGTATGGTGCATGAGAGCACAATGTGGCTGAATGGGTTAACTGGCCAGATAGGTCAGGTAACCAATTAAGCGACAGGGCTCCCCCGTTGACGAGTAAAATTGTCTGGCATTAGACAGAGTAAAATAATAAAGTAGGACAGACTGTGACCCAACAGGGTTAAGCTGCAATGCACCTTGATACAAGTGAGAACCCTACATAGCTAATTAGATGAGAGACTAGGTATTTTAGCCTATTAGGAATTAAATTTGAGATCTATTTGGGGTGCAATTAATCCACTGAGTCGCATTGCACCCTGATGCACCCTACCTTAGTATTTTACTCTGTCTAACGCCATAGTATTTTACTCTGTCTAACGCCAGACAATTTTACTCGTCAAGGGGAGAGTGCTGGCGCTTAATGGGTTAACTGGCTTATCTACCCATGTGTCTAGTTAACCCATTGAGTTGCATTGCACCCTGATGCACCCTACTTTAGTATTTTACTCTAACGCCAGACGATTTTACTCGTCAAGGGGAGAGCGCTGGCGCTTAATGGGTTAATAAACAGTTATTGGATGAGATTTTTCATTTTTGTTATATCAGAATTACCAAATTCATTATACCAAATTTTATTATACATTGAATTTTCTTTAACTCCTTTGACAATGATCTGTCGCACAAAACAGTGTTTGGTTCTCCAAAAAAGCAGTGCTAATTTAACCCATTGGGTTGCATTACACCCTAATTTATTATTTTACTCTGGCTAATGCCATACAATTTTACTCATCAAGGGGAGAGTGCTAGCGCTTAATGGTTTAAAAAATCACAATAACAACTTTAAAATATTACAAGTCTTATTTACATTTACATTACAAAGTTCCAATAAAAATGTAAGTTTCAATAGAAATGTAAAAAAATGCCTGCTATTTGCACAAAAAATGATCAAAATGAAATTTGTTCATGTTATTTGTCTCTTGTTTTTACTTGTACTGCATTTAAAGCTACCGCTTGCTGTTATAATATTTACATATTGCGGGCGCAACCTACACAAACTCAGTTATGTGTAGGTCGCATGACTATACAATGTATAATAATGACCATTTATGCATTTGGCCCCTTGGTATAGAAGTACTGTTAACTTCAATATAATATCATATCAGAAATTTGGAAATTGATACATAAGCCATATCCAAGTGTGTCCATACCCCTATAACCTAATGTTTGTCCGAGGTGCGACTTCGGACCATTGGAACCCTTAGGCAAAATATAGCTGTATGATATAAATATATAAAATAGATAGTTATTTTTTTATATACCAAGAGTGTTATAAACTATGGTATTCACTTTAAAAAGTTGTAATATCATTGTCCGAGGTGGGGTTTACCACTGACTTCTGGTCCCGACTGACAGCAGGGTTTTTGGCAAACCCTTAGGGTTGATCCAGGTAGAGGGTGGGAACACTTGGATTTGACTGATGTATAAAAAATGCAAACATGGCCTTGATAATGCACTTTTCACTTTTATGACAGTCTGGAGCATAGATTATAATTAAAGTTTTGGGAATAAGCACATTGTACACACCGAAGAATAGAATTATTTTAGAGTCCAGTCATAACTATGCTGGTGTATCAGAACACACACAGGGTAGTTTATTGTTTTGCAAATATTAAAATTACATATTATACAAATGGAAGTTGAGGCAAAGCAGCCAAAATATTTAATAGGTTTTTGGAACAATGAACATATTATAACTATATACAGTACCTATTCTCCTAGATTTTCTACAGGTATGATATTGTTACTGTATTATTTAAAGAAATAGATATTATTTTTACAATGTTTCAGTTGTTTTTGCTCTAACTACAAACTCATAATTATCGATACAATTAATTTTTAAGTTGTGCGCTATTCAAGTCTGAAAATAAAATTTCCTTGACACAGTAACACTTTTAAAATGACCAGTATATAGATAAGTGCACACCTTTCCAAGACAAATTGTGTGTGGATGTGTACAGTACTAATTTTTACATTGTCATTATAAACATCTGACCATTAATTCAAATCTTAAAGTGCCTATGACACGAAATTTCACCCCAAATGTTTATGATTGCATTGTAAAGATCCCTTAAAATGACTTAATAATTTCTTTTATAGAATTTTCGTAACTTGCTTCCTTTGCAAGATATTTAACTTTGTTTCATATGCAAATATCACCGGTGTGACATCACATCGCATAATGACATTTTGAAAACGCAATATTTTACCTTGATAAAATATTTTTAAAAACAAATACAGAGTGTTAATTACCAGTTATGAAATAAATACATGTACAAGGGCAATTTTTAAGTTTTTTAGATACGTATTCGTCAAGAAAACTATACTTTTCAGAAAACTCATTATGCGATGTGATGTCACACCGGTGATATTTGCATACGAAACAAAGTTGAATATCTTGAAAAGGAAGCAAGTTACGAAAATTCTATAAAATAAATTATTAAGTCATTTTAAATGATCTTTACAATGCAACCATAAACATTTAGGATGAAATTTCATGTCATGGGCACTTTAAGTCAAATCAAAATTTACTGGTCATTTGCCTGTGTTAGAATTTGGAAGTCTATTTTCAGCTGGCACTGCCCTACTATATATATATATATATATAGATATCACAAATGTTTATCATAGACTGATTTCAAATTTTGCACTGGGGTGTCGAAAACGTTTGGGGCAGAGGGGGTGTGTGAAAAATTTAAGAGGAAGGTGAGCAACGGGGGCTGTAGCACTGCTGAGCAAGCTGCAGCAGGGGTAAGGGGGCACAGTTGTGAATGAGAGTAAGGAGGATTGGTCTTATTATGGTTCAAAACCCTTGTTATTAGTCTTACTGAGTTCAAAATCTTTATTTCAATCACACTACTGTTGTTTATCTCAATGAGCGTTTAAATTTTTTGGATGGGCAAATTTCCCTGGGTGTGTGAAAACGTTTGGCAGGGGGTGCAAAATATTTTGGGGGGAGTGCACACCCCAGAAAATCTGTCTATGATATTTATGTTGAAACAAACATAACCAGAATGGGAGATACATGTAATCAGAGCTCTCCTGCCATCACACCTTCAAGATGGACCAAAAGAATATCCTTTTTACCTGAAGTGGAAAGACCTCTTTCCCTTAAGCATTTTTTAAGTTCATCAACGGATAAAGACTTCAAGGATGATAATGAATTTGCTGTGATCGATTGCCTTTTGTGAACACTATCATGATGCCCTTTCAATCCAAGCTTATCAGCAAACCGCCTATTGAATACATCGGAAACACACGGTTTGAGCAAAGCAACAATATCGGTTGAGAGCTGTTGCTCTTGTGCACATCTGCTTACAAGGATAGCCTCGCAACAAACCTTGCATTGTGTATGCTCTATGTCCACTTTCTCTCTCCCACAATCACAATACATTGCTGAATCACAATGAGGAGGTTTACGGGACTTAAAGTGTGATGAATAGCAGGGGGGAGAAGGTTGGTGTTCTGGTAGATAGAAAGTTCTAATGTAGTTAGACCTCATTAACTGCCACCACTTGCTCGTATGATCACTAGCCCTTGATCGGTTAGTCATAGAGAGCTCACCCTTTAGCCCAGCATGTTTGGACTCCTTGGCTTGTAAAGAAAGAACCCACTGTCCAAACAGTAACATTGATACTGCCAGGAAAGAAAAGAGCAAGTAGATTAAAAGTAAAGCTGGCAGAATTCCTCCAACTGAGAAATATCACCTGGATTGTTCACATAAATCTTATTAAACAACCCACCAGCATTGCGAAGGTGTTGCATAATTTTCCCAAGTGCTAGCCGTCTCACTTTCTCCCCTTCTGTTTCACAAGCTGTTTGCAAACAATCTGCCAAACGATAGCCATATTGTGCAAGAGCAATTGCCTGTGATCCTATAAGCCTGACACTCAGCTTGTTAAAGCGCTTTTTCTCATCACCATAGTGCTCCGCAACCTTTGTAGAAAGGTACGACAAGCCACATCCATATATATCTGATGGGCTACTGGAAAGAGAAGTAGTAGAAGTTTCTAACATGGTTGACATGTTTGCTGAAGCAGCCTTTTTACTCATTTCCACTAGGGAAATGCCTGGTTGAAATGACATTTCAGGTGAAAGACTTGCACTTTCTGACCCAGCCCTCTCAAGATTGTCATTCCTATCAAAAGCATACTCAGCAGACCCTGCTGTTTCATCTATTTCAGTTGTATCAGGAGGAGTTGATATACGAGGGCATACTCCAACAGGAGCAGAAAGCGTTTGGATAAACTTGTCAAAAGCACATCGCCTAACTGACTCACTATAGATTAAATCTAGCACATGCTGCCATGCATTGATCTCGCAATGCAAAGGATCCGGCTTTACCCGATCAGCAAATAGTCCAATTCTAGGACTTCCAAGCTGACGGATTCCATGCTCAGCCATGAATGCTAGCTTCTTAGTGTGAAGTGTTGATGCAGTTAGGCTTTTAGAAAGGCTTGCAAGGTAACTACTGACCATAAAAATATGTTTTTCCCGGTCACTGCTATCACAGGGCTTCCTCAAATCAGTACTGCTATACCCTATGCTTCCACCCATAGTATCCATGTTGCCCTTATGCACATTTGCATAAGGCGATGGATATGTGGCAGCCCGATTAAGCTCGTTACAAGCCCAACTTTGCCAACTCATGTCAGCACTTGGTTGGAACTCAAGCGTACACTCCTTACCTGAGACAGTGAAAACACTCGCCTCTAATAACAGCATCTCTTCAGTATGCTGTTGCCAAAGTAACTCAAGGGCATCATGTTTCTCATTCAGACTAACACAGTGTAAAAGATATTGAAACTGTCTACTCCTAACCCGCTGCCCTAAGTTCCATAATGTCAAACTTCCAATAGACATGGAAAGCTGGCTAGTTTCAGGAGCACCATCATCGGAAAATTGAAAAATGAAATGATTAGTGTTACCCTTAAACCACACAAGTTGACGGCACAGATGAGGCAATTTTAAATTAAGGTCCATTATCATGAACACTAGACCAGTGATTGTTCTAGTCACACCAGACACATCAGGAATTTGACAAACACAACCAATATCTAGGGTCTTGACAAATTTCTCAATACTTCCATAGGATACATTAGAAAGAGAGAGTTGAACGTCAAAACCCAACACACTTAACATTTCTTGGCACCCATACTTCCTTATCAGGGTCAAAAACAGAAGACTGTGTTTTACATAGCGGGTTATAGTTTCTACGAGATAGAAAGTTTTTATATTTTAAACTAATAGCATCATTTAAAGAACTATTTGCTTCAGTAAGTTCTTTCACTGTTTTCTTACAATACCTTCTAAATACCTCCCTCGATTATACTTGGCAATCAAATTTTCCATCATAGTTTTAGAAGCAGTCGATGACAAAAAATCCCATGCACCATATAATGCACCTTCTTCACTCCCATGTATAAACTCGAGCACATTTTTTGTTTCTTCCCGTCGTCTGTATCGTGTACCAGATTTGTTATTGGTTATGATTTCATGTGTGGTACTGTATTTTCTCAGCGTGTTTGGGATTGGTCTTTGCACTCAAATAGGGTTTTCAGTTTATCATACTGTTTGTTTATCGTACTTAGTTTTTGTTGTTCTTCCATGACCTTTTGTTCGGCAACTTCTTTTTCTGTGATGTATTTCTCCAGATCACATTCTGTAAAAAGAATGGAGTTACTTTGTACTGGATTCAAGTTTTTGTTTACATTATGGCACTTTAATCCAGTACCAGTCACACAGGTAATACTACACCATTTCGAGGTAATGTTTAACTGGTGTACAGACACACTGGGCCAAAATCCATGTTATGGAATAGAATTGTTAGGAAAAGGGAGGAATGTCTAGTTATATATGCACAGTGTTAGCCATCCAAGGCTCAGCAATTCACCCACACACTTGGCATAGTTTTGTTCTAGCTGTTTGGCTCATCTGATTAATAAGTTAAGAAGCAAAGAAAAAACCTGGCCGAGCAAATGTTCGAAGTGTACACATGCCATGCATAAAGCCTGGTTTCCATATGATGCCAACCAACCGCCGACTTAATGTCGATAATAATTGAAGGAGAAAATTATTGCAGATACACAAATGATTTTACTCATGAGTATCACAGGCAATGGAACCTACCGACTGTTGGCATCAGATGGAAACCAGGCTTAAGACAAATTGCTTTGACTCATGTTAAACTGCATTTTAGCCTATTAAGTACTAGAGCTCTCCCCTTGATGAGTAAAATCATCTGGCATTAGACAGAGTTAAATAAAGTAGGGCGCATCAGGGTGCAATGCTGAAAAAATTTAAAAACAAATTTAAATACATGGCATGGTTTTTTAGAAATGGTAAAATATTTCACAGTTTAGTATACACTTATACAAACCGCAAACAAGCAATAAAATGTACTTTTGTATATTGCAGCATTATTAGCCTGAACTCTATGAATGCCACAGAAAAATACGTACCTTGGGTATCTATTTTATACAGATATGGCCTAAAGCGCCACTACAAGCTTTGAGGCAAATTTAATGAACCTTCCTTATATTATTGACATTCAACATATCATTTACAGACATATAGTAAGAATAAATTATACATACTCGCAGCAGCTACTTTATCTTCTGCCACGGCAACCAACAAACTGACTTTGTCCTGCTTTTCTTGAAGTTTTGCTTCGGCAAGGTCAATTTTGGCTTTTTTTAACTCGATGTCATGCAAGTTAGAGGATAATTCTCCTTGTTGATTTTTCAGCTTAAAGAACACCGATTTCTGCCAGAATGGTGTGTGATCTCTTTTACTGTCACATTTTCCCACATGTGAGTTTTCTTTGCTGCATTTTCTACTTTTAGAACAGCTTTTAGAACTGCTAAACGAAAATAAAACAGCATGGGGCAAGCATTCAATATGGCATTTACAATGAACGTATTGAAATGCAAATAATTTCGCGAATTAAAACATATATTCTTACCATTCTCCTGATCCGCTTGCCATGAATTCATTTACATAATAACAAGAACTTTGATTTCCCTTTGTAAATTTGCTATGTATATACAATTTAGAACACAAATTTAAGGAATTTTTAAGAAACTCGCACGGATTTGCCTTTCTTCTTCGATTGTTTTGTCGTATCATGAAATATAAGGGGGGGGCGGTGGTTTCAAGGGGATATTGTAGATATAAGTATTGAAGTACTTAGGGGACCCTCCACGGCAGGGGTGGAAAAAGTATCGGAACATGGGAACCTAGTTCCCAGAAATTTTTTTGAGCTGAGAGTTTTGCAGAAAATTTTCCAGAAAATATTTCAACATTTTGAGTTAACTCTGTTTACTCAACTTACAAGTTACAACTTATTCTACTTTATTTACACTGTACGCGCTAACATCAGCAGCTTTTAAATATTTGATAGAAATTCATTCTTTTACCCACCCTGCCATCACAATGACTGGTAAAATGGTAAATATATGCTCTGCAAAGTCTCCAATAAAATGCAAATTAAATAGTAAACAAATAAAAGTGATGGAATAAATAAGATAGGACACTTAGTTAAGCGTTAGATCCTTACTATGTTTGTGTTGTTATTCTGAGTGTGTATCCACACCGGGCAAGCTTGAAAAATATGCCTGGCCATGGTGGGAATCGAACCTATACGACCTTTGGAATACTAGATTACATTGATGTCAAAGGAACTAAACTCAGTTCCGAAATATCACATACTCGAACCGACCTGACCACGTAGCTCAGTTGGCAGAACATTGGGCTAGTATTCCAAATGTTGTAGGTTCGATTCCCATTGTGTCCAGGGATATTTTTCAAGTTTGCCTGGTGTGGATAGACACTCAGAGTAACATCACAAACATCATATTCTCCTTAGTACATAACACCAACACAGAAAAAATCAAGATCCTTCATAACTCATAACTGTGGTCATAACTCATAACTGTGGTATATATCAGACAACTATTGTGATGTACAAGTGTACGAAAACCAGCCTAAAGCCCATCATTACTAAAGTACAAATAATACAATAATTATGCATTTGTTTTGTTATTTTTGTAATTGTAACATTACAAATATTACAGAAAATTTCTAGTCTTCGACCCAGGTTTCCAGAAAGAAAAAAATTTTTTCCACCCCTTGCTCCACAGTAAGATTTCGTCAAACGCGTGCCGCTGTAAATACCAAACATGGTTCGCAGTATAGGTTAAAGAAAACCGTATTTCTCTCTTATATTAACAATAGCATTCATTTTTTTTGTGTAATGATAAGAAGGCGACTTATGTCTATATATTGCAGTAAAAAGATATTAAAAAAATAGAATAAAAACAAATACATGCCCGTTCAATGTTCAGTATTTCAAACCAAGCAGAAAAGACAAAGCTAGAAGACTAAGTTTGAATGCCTGCTGTGCTTTCCAAACGGAGGCCAATTACCAAGCAACCGACCACCGTGGCGGGTCACTACATTGCATATGTGTTCTGTGTAGTCTACATCTTCATTGCATTGTTGGCATTTCACTGTGAATTTGCAAACACCTGCTTGCCCGCTTAACTCATTCTCATCCAGTCTAAAAGTAGCAATTTTGAGTGGTATTGTTTTAACCACATAATATCTTTCAAAATATACATCGTACAGAAACAGAAATTGTATCGTTCGAAAGAGGAGGACTTCCGCTTTCCAACGATATCAATTTTCATTTCATCCAGAGCTTGGTTAACGATTTGCTCGCATAAATTTGGATAAATTATGATATAAAAATGTTGCAATTATATGCATAAATGTATTTCCCGGTTCAAATTTCAAAAATGTCAAAAATTTTATGAATGTAACTGAAAGACATGGTTTTGATCTACATGTACCTGACGTTTCATGCATGTAGCATAAATAGAAGTATTTCTATTGAATTTTTGATAAACTATGTAGTGGAGTAAAATTCACATTTTGTGCTCACATGAAACAAATACCCTTATCAAATGTCCTTTTTCATTGCTGCAACATATTATCAATACAAATTTCCAATATCTCTTACTCTCCAAGGATAGTATGGCACCAAATTAAGTCTGTGATACCCACAAAAGAACACTCAAATCACTATTTGCACTATGGTTACTATATACATTCTTGGATAATCAGTACACCATTGACTTAGTTATCAGTGGCATATTAACCAGCCTGAAAATTTGGTCATGCTATTCAAATTTTAAATAATCATTACTCATTTCTTTAGAAATTGATTGTTTTTCTAGAACATGAAAATATTTGCATATAGCATGACCAAGTGTTGTTGTGCTGGCGTCATCATTAGTAGTTATAAAAAAGTAATGTTTTCCAAGGCAGTAAAGTTTGTCAAGACACATAATTGGATTATGTGGTAAAAATATTGAGATGATGTTTGGGTTATTTGTATGTGGGCATATGTATTGGTATGGGAAACTACCTCCTGAAGCATTCCCTTAGTAAAAAAGAGCCGAATGAACTCAAGCTCACAGTTCATACTTCTGGTGAAAGCTTGATCGAAATGGATCCCGGACATGTCGGTGAGGGGCAAAATCTGGGAGAATATTCCCAGTGTCAGGATCACCATATCCGTCATGTACTATGGAGCCTAGTCGGGGGTGCTAGACAAGGAGCTTTCAAAACATTGGGTCCTAGTGGCTGGGCTTCCCTCTACCTCTACTCATCCCCCTACTTTCCCTCCACACACGTTTTTCTAATGGGGGTTGGGGAGTGGGGTTTTCATTTGAGCATACAGATTGTATTTCTACACAATTAGTGCTTATGAAGGCTTATTTCAAACTAAAAAAAAAGAGATTGTTTTTCAGAGCTAGACTTCAAAAGAAACCGCCTGTCTGACATTTTATAGCAGCCTACATTGGCATGCAAAATAATTTTGGCTTTTAAACCGTTGCTTTCCCAATAGAAGCATGAGAATATTGAGCTAAAAGTCTTACCTGACGTATGTTTAAAGTGTTCTTCTCTTTATGATGCTTTTCAGTGCTTTGAGTACAGAAGTGAATAGCTTTTAGTTTTGTCACCGCAAAGTGCCTTTCAAAATGTCGGCTGTCATTGTGTGTGTTAAAAACACCTCAGAAACCTCTCACCTTCGATCCCATCCTTGGTTTATATTAAAATAAATAAATTTAAACACTATGTGTCCTTTTAAATATATTTGAAGTAATCAAAAAACTTTAAAGATTTACAAACACTGTGTTTTGGCTTGCACACTTTGTTGAACTTGAACACTTTAATAGTTACTGTTCTAAATTTCATGTTGTAAACAAGATGCCCCAAAAAAGCAAATTCCATAATTTATATCCCAAAAGATGAAAATTGGTTGTAATATAGTTATCTATTAATTTAGTAAATGAATTTTTTTTTTTTTTATGTAAATTTATGGAGACATTGCCCCTTTAGGTGATGAGTGACATGAAAAACAAAGTGTCACTGCTTTATATATAAAAATACTGACTGAAAAAACTAATGATATATATAGTATGCAAGGTCATCTAAACTAAATTTGGTCAATCATATATTACTCATGCTTGGTTGAAAAGATCAGAGTTTTTTATGCAATTGTTTCTGAGATATTGCAATTTTGGTGAAAGCTTGGAATTCAATCGTGAATTCGCCATATTGCTTGCCACTTTAGGGGGTGGTAACATTGTAACAGCTTGCCCCTTAATGAGTTAATTTACAGAATTTTTCAAGACCGAAAAATGGCTAAAGTTAGAGTGGAAAATCGTTTATTGGACCTCCGCTTTGATGTTTAAAGCCATATCCACGCGAAAGAGCAACGTTTCGTCTTCAATTTAGTAGAAAAATATTTTGGGGCTATTGAAACTACAGTTTTTGGGAACACTAAACGCTAGTGGCCTTGAAGCTAAAAATATCTTTTCAAGTTACATTATGTAAGTGCAATTAATCTATGACAACCGAAAGTAAAAATATTTAATCAACTTTCCGTGAAAATTATTTGTTTTAACTGAGATCTAACTAGTATATTCAATAACATTGTGTAGTGATTCTTGATAACTTTGCATGAAATTAATCTTAAAGAGGTTGTAAACTCCGTAATGTATTGTTAAAACAAACACTTTGTTTACATTTTGAACAGCTATATTAGTTGTAAAATATGATATACTATAAACTGAATGTCTAACACTTCTCGGGTTCGCTATGCTTGTGAATGAATATAAACTCTATGTTTGAATTCAAAAAAGTTTGAAAGTTGCAAAATTTGGGCAATGTTTATAGCTGCGAGTCCCCCTTTGTTATGAGCAAAACTAATGCGTAGAACGGATTTTAAATGACGGTACTGCACGATATTGTATGCTGATAAACTCACTATTCTTTATTATATGGACAATGGTACGTGTTTATTGGAACTAAAACACTTGTATAGAACTCATATGCCACCGCATGCGGCACCAGATACACGTATTTTCCGTATTTCACGCTTGCGAGTAACATACGAACTACGAAGTTCGAAAATTTCCCGCCATTTTCATTGTTCTTGTTTTGACAATACAAATGGTCTTTGGTTCGTATATAAAACGAAATTAACGTTGGAAATAAAACAGAAACATTTAAAAGACATCTTGAGATAGTAAAATAAAGTAAAATTTATTCTAGTTTTATGTTTGTACTATAAATTAAACAATAGAGACCTTAAGATTGACGTTTACGGCAAACGTCAAACCGCTAGCGAAGTTTTTGATTTTACAACTCTATTATTATACTTTTACACCAGTTTTGAAATATGTTAGACTTATTAAACTTATGCTCTTTAGCAATGATTTAAGAAAGCAAATTAACCACAAATCATGCCATTCACCAAAGCAGTAAATTAAGATTTGGCGTTTGAAGTTGACGTTTGGCATATAAATTCCATGCTTTAACAACTAGAAGCCCTCATAGCAGTTCAAGCATGAAATTTATACGCCAACTTTGCTTTCTTAATCATTGCTAAAGAGCACAAGTTTAATAAGTTTAAC